TGTCTTTGAAATTATCCTGGTGTAATTGTTCGTTGGTCTGCGATAGCGATCAACTTGTTTCGTAAACGACGCTTGCACGCCGTAAGCAAGTGCACTCGTTTGGTCGCGATCGGATGCACGTGCATCTCATGTGTGTATTCGGGAAATGAGAGGCGGAGTTAAGAGTGTCGCGCGGAGACAGGGAAGAGGGAGTGTTCTGGAGGAAGCGGAGGATGCGGAGGATGCGGAGGATGCGGAGGATGCGGAGAAGACCGCGAAGCGCGGTCATTCATAAGTAAGCCACCGAGACGTTCAGGCTCTCGGCTCTTTCGAGTTAATCGAGTCGTGGAACGATTTACCGATAAGAACGGTGCTGCAGCTCGCCAGCATGGCTACACGGAAGAGAAGCTTCGAAGAATCCTCGAAACAACGTTATCAAGCGAACGCGCGCGAGAGGGACCGCACTCATAGGTGAACATTACACGCTTCCTAGCAAAGTTTCACCTTTCCGTTTCGATCGGCGCGATTCCCCCCCTTTCCTTCTTCCTTTCGCCATTTTCAAAGTCGCGCGAAAGAAAGCTGGATAGAAACGTTAGAAACAACATCGAAATCGCGACGAATCGACGAAACGTTGTTCTCTCGGTGAACTCTGAATTAGTAAGTTCGTAATTACGAAAGTTCGTAACACCAGTATATCGGGTAAACATCGAGCGTTCGGACAGTCTTCGATATTTGGTCGATTCGTCGATGAATTCTATCTAGACGATAGTGGAGAAAATTGTAAATATTCTTATGGAATGTAAGAATAATCTAGCTAACAGCTGCGAGACTGAACGAAAACCAAAATGTTCCCTGTGCAGTGTGAACACGGCGTTCAGCACGTTGAGAACGTTAATACCGACGGAACCCGTGGACAGGAAATTGTCGAAAATCGAGACTTTGAGATTAGCCAGCAGTTACATCAGCCATTTAGGGGCCGTCCTCGTGGCAGAACCTGTAAATCAACAACCCTGTTTACGTATCGACGAGGACAGCGACACCGACAGCGACAACGAAACCGATAACATCGATACCAATAGCAATCGCACCGGTGTTACCGGTGTCAACGGTGTCAACGGTGTCAACGGTGTCAACGGTGTCAACGGTGTCAACGGTGTTAACGGTGTTAACGGTGTTTACGGTGTTGGGTCGAACCTTTGGCCCGATTCCCGAGCAAGGCCGCAGCTTTGCACTTTTTGCCTCGCTATGCACAAAAAATACGTAAGTCTGGAATGCGTGAGAGAAAACCAGTCGCATCGCGGATAGAATAACTGAATGGCCATTCAGCGGCGGTATGCCGATCGCCGGTCGCCGATCAATTCCTCTCCTCCCTTTATTACCGCTTGCCGCCTCTCGCAAACTCATTCTTTCTTTTCAGCGTTTGAACGTCTCTTCCAAACTGATTTCGGATTACCGGATTTCCGAAGCGTCGCCGTACCGTTTCCCCGCTGCAACCTCGCCGATGTGCTTCGATTTAACCGATGTATAATCGCTGTTTTATACACGATACAAATTTACCTTGGCTGTGTATTTTTTTCTGTACGCGTGCACCCGCGCGATACAGTTTCTAGGATTAATACTATTTCTGCTACCGTGTTGCGTCTCTAATTTTACCGGATCCACGCGTGTTTCCTATCGACCATCGATGGCGAAACAACGATTTTGCGAAAACGAATGCGCCGCGTTCGCCGCGCGCGTTTGTTCTCCGCGGTTCTCTCGTTTCGTGCGCGAAAGAAACATTTGAACGGCGACCGTCGTTTAACTGCGCGTATACAACTCTGCTCAAAATAACGATATCGCGTCGTTCCTCCGAATCGCGAATATATCGGTATCGGCAATCGTCGAGAGAACGTTCGGTTCCGTTTATCGTCGGCGTATTTATGAAAGCGATTTCGGCCGGAACACGGATCCGTCGTTTGTCCCCGTGTCGATAGAAATTAAAGGCATGCTACAACGATCGGTGTAGTACGACGGTGAATATTTCAGTGATTTCGAGTCG